CCATAATCTTAAAGCTAATGTAAATGGAGAGATATGTTGGTTTTATTATACATTACATAGATCAAGTATGTCATCTCCATTGTATACCAGCGAAGCAATCGACAATTCTAATCCAAGATGGTCAAGTCTCGAAGTACCGACTCTGTATGCCACAGGTTATTCAATGGCTAGTGGTGAGCGTTACTGTCTGTCAGTACTATAAATGCTGTATTTCTTAGGATTAGCACACATATTGGTTCATTAAGTACATTCTTGACATTGACTTGTTTTAAATGCATTTTTATTAGACATTTGGAGAAATGATTCTATCTTTTAAACAGAGATTATTCTGAGGGTATGGAAGCGCTCAATGCCATGCGACAACACAGCTGATGTAACCCTCTTCACATGCGGAATATCATTCACAGGATTGACATATATTGGTCCTAAATTACCACCTAATCTAGAAACTGTTTTAAAGGAAAACTCTTTGATATTTCATTTTCATGGTGGATACTTTACTCCTGCATACTGCTTCATAGCAGCTCCAGACTTGAAGCGCTACCTTTATATCACTATAAATGTTTCTGAAATAAAGAATAGTTATACCGTGAATAAGCTTAGCAGTTTAAGAAGCAAAATGCAGGCACTAAAGCAACAAACAGAATCGGTGCAAGCGCTCAGAATACGCATTGCCTCCGGTGATGATTTTCATATTCCCAAATATCCACAGACAATTTTGAACAGACTGTTGCAACCACGGAGAGTCAACAGGGAAAAGAAGTTGGAAATTATGAGAATACGTAAAGAGCTAGAAATGGCTAAATTTAGAACAAAATTGCTAGAACAAGAAAGATCACGAAAAATGGGAGAAATTCGTGTACTGAATCAATTACATACTAATATGACAGAAGAAAATCAAGATCTTGGTTAGTATATACGCGCACATTGAATATATATTGCATGAATACTCTTCTAAATAAAAAACTCTATCTTGTTTTCTAGGTTCTGATTTAATGGAAAGATATAAAGAGTTGAATAAAGACATAGAGAAACTAAATGAATGGCGACAAAATCATATAGATACGAGGGAAACATACTTGCAATTGAGCAGTCAACTTGCACAAAGGCGACGACAATTAATTTCAGAACTGTGTTTAATATATCCTATTAAACAGGTATAGCTAAAATATATATATATATATTTGCATAATTGTTTTTATTAATATTTTTCTCAATTTTATAGGATAGCATTGGAAAGTTTAGAATAAATGACGTTTATTTGCCAGACAGCGAAGAATTGGAATTGTCAAATGATACACAAGTGGCTGTGGCATTGGGTTTTGTTGCACATACAACGCAAATGATTGCAAATTTCTTGAATGTACCGACCAGATATCCTATCGTACATTACGGCTCGCGCAGTAAAGTTATAGATCATATAACAGAAAATTTGCCTGACAATGACAGACAGTAAGGGTTATTTGTAATTGTGTCTTTATTAGCAATGTATCCATGCATATATTATCACTAACATGTTATTTTTAGATTTCCATTGTTTGCTCGAAGCAAGGATAAATTACAATTCCATTATGCTGTATATCTATTGAATAAAAATATAGCACAGCTACGATGGTATTGCGGCCTTCCCACCACTGATTTAAGAGCAACGTTGCCGAATCTCGCAACGCTAATCAACATTAAACCCAATCAGATACAGTACGTAAACGCATATTTATTAATTTCATTATTAATAATATACATATATTTATTTTTATCGTAACTCGAATTATTTCATAGTTTGGACGATTCAAAACGAACATTTTCTACCTCGTCTTTGGACACTGAAAGTGGTAATGGTAAACAAAATCCACCTCTCACGCCACCATTGCAAAAAATAATTTTCGAGAAATGCCATCGTTCTTCTCGATCAATGAGTCAATTAAAGAATATAAAGTCATCTCTTGGATCTTCTTTGGATCAAGGTTTAGACAAACCTGTACAATCACCTGCATTAGGTAATCAGTCGAAGCGAATTTGTAAATCAGAAGAGAGTGCCATTGACAATAAAACCTTGGTTTTGGCTAAAGATAGATCGAGTATTAGTAGTAATGAAACATTGAATAGTGCCATTCTGAACAATATTGATAATATTACTCTTAAACACAAAGAAAATTTTGTCGAAATTAGCGATAAAGTTGTTATAGAGAGCAATATTGAGATTATGATACCTACATCTGTTTCTAAAGCAAAGAATGTCGCAGATAGCTTGGAAAGTTCCGTGAGTGCCCGAGATAGAAGCTCTAATTCTATAAGCAGCTGCGAAATGGCTCTCAGTAGTCAAAATGATGTAGATGAGAGTTTAAATGATAATCATGTTATTAGGAAAGAAAAAATCAATGACAATGTGTTTTCGATTGATGATTTTAAAAACGTCAAGGATGTGATAGATAGTACGCTGAAGAATGGCGAATATGGTAAAGGGCGTAATTCTAGAAATGCTATTTCACAAAGTTACGACATGAATAATACAATCGTCAGCGAACAAAATAGCAGTGGTCACGGACAAGACTCGCTTACAGAAACTGCCATCCACAATAGAGAAGATTTTGTTAAATCGTGCTCATCTTTGGATGATGTGTGTACTTACGAAGAACAGAAACAAAAAACAAATTCCATTTGTAGCTGTACAGAAGAATATACAAAGAAAAATACATTACGACAAAAATGCTTAAAATCCAGGTACATACATACATACATACATAGACATAATTATTATATTTATATATAAATGAACATTTTATGAATGAATGTCATTTTTTAAATATTTTAATATACATATATATGTTGACTTATTTTACAGAGAAGATAAATTAGATTATCTTCAACATGCTGAGAAATGGTCCCAGGATATTGTAAGAAATGAACCAACGGTAAATTTGTATGTTAATAACTTCCATACTTTTTTAATGTGATATTTTAAAATGTTCATCTTGTATCTAGGTGGATACGAGGTCTATTCTAAATGCATCAAGATCAGACTGCTGTTCATATGAGGAAGCAAAAATGCAATGTGACATTCAAGCATCAAGTGAATTTATAGACGTCATTAGACGCAGTTCAGAGAACGTATGTGCGCGCACTGAAGCTTTAGCTAATAAGAAAACTAGTTTCAAAGTTATGAAACCGCGTCTTTAATATCTGCCTACTTTATAAAGAGTTATGTCCTGATAATGTAAGTAATAAGTACCAAAGGTTTTAAGACATATTTAGTTTATATTTTACACAATTATATGTGTATACGTTGTTGATATGATAAAAATCTTTAAATATTATTTAAAGTTGATTTTAATTAAAATTGTAACATGTTACAGGTATATTTATTGTCTTTTATTTATTTGAAATAATATGAAATGTTTATAATAAATCACTGTAAGTGTTACAGTGCGAATATGATAAATATAAAAAAAACAAGTATTTTGTAGCAAATATAAACTAAATTATGTATAAAAACATAGTAAAAACATCAGTTATATTTACCCATATATTATTCTATATACGTTTATACTTTATAATTTTCGTTCTCTTATGTTTGCGTCAACAATTACTATGAACTGTTATGGTATATATTGGATATAATAAGAGTAATAAACGTCGACAAAATTGATAGTTTTAGGAAGGTATGCATCTTTGTACATGTGATACAGACGTGTTATTAGTAGTAGTTATTACTTTATTCGTACTGCATACTTATGGTGAAACTTTGGACAGTTAACTAACATTTATAAGTCAGGATAAGTCATCTTCTTATTGTTAGTTTGATAGTGAGATGTAAATACAACGTATGCATTCATACAATTATTAAGTTACGATCCTATTACTGTAATATACTCCTAAAAAATTTATATTATTTCTGTACAACATTTTCATTGAATTGAGATAATATGCAACACAAATAGTTTATATATACATATATATATGTACTATGTAGAAATAGATTTTTTCACTGTACTTAATTCACGTAATTGATCAATGTTTAGTTCGTGCTCATAATACAAGCAATCGCGAATGCATTAATATAGTTGATTCTATTTTTATCATTGTTACAGTATGCGTAAATAAATTTAGATTTATATACGAGGACCAAGTAAACTACGTAATTGCTTAACGAAGTGATAGAGTAATTAATTTATCTCTAATTAGATAAAAGCACCTAAAAGAATTGTTTGCAAAACAATTTCTTCATGGAACTCAAACGGACTATCACAATGTGATATAATATGAAATAAATTATCTAAACAAAAGAAAAAAAAACGAGAGAATTCATTTATTATTGTATCCTATTTATCTTTTATTTAATAATTAGTATATATTATTTCTATTTTATAAGAAAAATTTATATCATCGTACCATATCGATTTATCAATCGCAAATGTAGCTTTTATGGAACAAAATTACATTTACGCACAATGTGATCAATCAATCGATGAATTAAAATATTCGCCCTTATTAGAGAGTCATTAGCACTGACGAGATACTTTTAAAAACCGTCAAGCCTGGGCAAATTTTCGTCCATACAAAAAGGGCCCGGAGGTAATTGAAGAACGCTGACATTATCGACAATTGATATAAATTTGCGATTATTAACATAAATATTTGGATAGTATATCATTAAATTGATGATTTTTTTATTATATAAATATTTCATATATAAGTATGTATTATAATGCTATAATATCGTATATATTATTGTAAAATTCCCATTTTTTTTCGAGTATTATTGCGTTTAAAATATATGTACATGTGTCTACGAAACTAATGTGAATCATAAAATATTATATTATCAGTTTATTACACTTAAATTTCGAGATGCGAACTACCGTAAGAATATCGGTTTTTAATAGTATCTATGTATCTCGTCGGTGTCAGTAGTATCAACGTGACAAATTTGCCTATGCAGTTTCCTCTCTTAACTTCTCGCCATAATCGGAGACCGGCACAATACCAAGCACTACCCAAAATACCCAGATTGCTCTGCGGTTGTGCTGCTTCGTCTCCGTTGTACCGCCATCACGAGACGAAGCGACACAGTGAGAGAGGTTGATTTACGTCGGTGTTTCTCTCGCATATCAGTTACGTTTCATCACAAGCCGCACAAATGAAGATGGTGGATAAGATTGAAATGAGTCTGGACGATATTATTAAACAGACCAAAGGGTCTAGGGCGCGTGGCGGCGGCGGAGCGAGCGGTAGACGCGGCAGAGGCGCTGGGAGTTCACCTCGTCGAGGAGCACGTAGGGTACAGAGAACCAGCGGTGGCGTCATGCGGGGACGTAATCGCGGTGGAATTGCACGCACCTCTTTACCATACACGAGGGTAAGATACGAGGCTAAATTTTACGACTATTGAATTCTTTAATAGGGCACTACTTGTTCATTTATACGTATTCATATGCGCGCGTGCATGTGTGTGCGTATATATTTACGTACATGTGTGTATTTGAGACTGAAATGTTGGAGCATAGAGTATAACTCCAAAGTACTCACCTATATGTATATGACCATTTATTAAAAAACAATATAAACGGTTATCAGCTGGAAATATTTTGTAAATTTGTTTTCTTTTATTTCCTTTTTATTTATTTATTGTTTACATATATTTATTATATTTCCTACTCGTTTATTTATGTTTTTATTTTCAATAAATTAATTAACATAAACAACTTATTTTTAATAAACTCAAATTGAGTTAAATAAGCTTTTTTTTATTATGTTATGATTTTTAATAAGAAAATGTAAAGATAATGGTATGGTTAAATGAGATTAAGATTATATAGATAATGATGTAGTTAAGATTTCGTATCTGTGAGATGTGTTTGTAGCTTGCATTGATTACTTACAACATAATGAATAAAAGTTTTTTTCAGTAGGTCTAATTCTCTTCGATAGAACAATAAAATATTATATCGTTAATTGTGAGGAAATGACAAAAAACAAAAAAAGAAATAGCAAAAAAAGGTTTTTTTATTCGATAAAGAATATAATACTTTTCCATTTTGTTGTACAGGGTGATGTAAACAGTGCTTGGAAACATGATATGTTTGATGGTGTAAAAAAGGTTGGTCGTGGTGCAATAGGAAATGCAGGAACGACTAAACTTTTGGTATCAAATCTTGATTTTGGTGTATCAGATTCGGACATACAGGTATTAAAATATTATATGTCAAATAACTTTTTAACAATATTGAACATGTTGAGCATCACATAATTTGAAATTAAATTATATCTCGTGAATTCATTTTCCTTTTTGAATTTTTAATTATCTATATAAGAGGATTTCTTATAATAACATTTGTGTAAGTAGTAATATATCAAATATAATAGAAATACTTTTTTAGTCTTGATTAAGTCAGTGTATTATAAAATTAAACAGTTGGCCAATATAGATAAAACAAATTTAATTTATTGACAAACTGTCGTATGGTACGAAATACAAAAATACATAATCTACAGGATACATCAACATGTGAATTTTCATAAATGAAGAAAATGTTTTTGACTGTAATCCTCAATATGTTAACCTTTTTGTAGATTTGATTTTAAAAAGAACACTTTTACAAAGAAAGATTCTATAGAGAAGTAATTATAATGATATTTTTTAGGAATTATTCAGTGAATTTGGACCTTTAAAATCAGCAGCAGTACATTATGATAGATCAGGTCGATCTCTAGGCTCTGCTGATGTCATATTTGAAAGACGGGCAGATGCTATTAAAGCAATGAAACAGTATCACGGAGTACCGTTAGATGGTATGTATTTAAATTTGATTGTGTTTATTTGTATATATATTTTTTCAATTATAGAGTTTTGCTTATATTTAGGTAGTATTATTTATTAGTCCAGTGTTCAGAAAACTTATGCTAAAAGAAATTGTGGATTATGATTTGTGCATATACAGATATTTCGCATCTGTCATTCCAATATATAATTGTGTTGATAGGACGTGAAATGAATATACAAGTAGCTACTTCTGAACTACCAATCACTTCTGTTCGTGGTCCGAGACTTAGCGGTGTTAATTATACACAAAGACCTCAATCACGTTTTAGGGGAAGTCGTGGCACAGGATCTATTAGAGGTAATTCATTAATGCAATTAAATATATATATTCTAATAATTAATGTAAATTAAAAAATAAAATCGATAGTATCTCTCATACACAGTTATATATTTTTTCTACGAGTTATATAAAAGTATTTAGCAATTTTTTGTTAGTTCCTATAAGATTATAATTTTATGAAATTTAAGGTCGTGGAAGTGGAGGTCGACGTGGAGGAGGTAGAGGAGGCACTCGGCAAACGACAAAGACACCTACGGCCGAAGAATTAGATGCAGAACTGGAAGCTTATGTGAAGGAAGTCAAGTAACAATGTTATAAAATTGCTACATTCAAATTTCGTTCAATGTGACTAACACAATACACATTGTTGCTATTTCTTTCTCATGAAATATACAGTTATAAATCCAATCCTATATAAATCTAGTAATGTTATACAACAATCAACTTAGTTTTTATTTTTGACGATTCTTTCAAAAATTGGCACAGCAAATTTTACAAAATCTTTGCGAACATTGTTTGTAGAAGTTCGTAGATTTTTTTTATAATATAGTGATACAAGAAAATTAAAAAAGAACATACTTACATGAATTGTAAAGACTGTATGAATTTGTATGTACTACCGTGCGTGTGTGCTCACCAGATGAAAAATACAATGAGATACATCTCGAAAAGTTGTTGTTTATCAAAGTACGGAATGTGCTTCTAGCCCTCACAATCTGATTATTCCAAATGCTATGTCAAATATCAATTACAAAATCCATCTTTAGGCTAATTTACTTAGGAATCTTAGAATACATAAATATCAATATTTTTATGTAATTGTGTGTCCGGAGTTTCTTTAGCTTAAACCTATATATGTGTAGTATATAATTAATAGTGGATTAAGGCTGTGACTTATGTTAACTAGTCAAATATTGACGATATTTAGTGCACAGTGATGGATATGTAAGACCATGTATACATTTTTGATCATGCAGCGTACAAATAGCAGTCAAACTAATAAGTGGCGCAAGACTGAAGAAAAACTATCACCAGATTCTCTTTTAATAAAATATTTTTAAAAGAAAACTTATTATCCATTGAAGAAGAATAATTTTAGTCCTTTCACCCCATATTTGATCCTATATCTTTTTTCTTTATAAAAATATCTGAAAACATATTGAGAAATGTGTTTAAAAAATACAAGAAATATATTAAAATGTACAAGGTGGTAGAAGGAAGGGAGATAGAGGTATATGTACAGAGAAAGACATACAATCATTGGGGAGGAGGAAATACATTTATCAAAATTGACTCAAAAGATGCTATGCACATAGGAGACATTTTCTTTATTTTACTTAAGTAATCACAAGTATTATTCTGTACATATGTAAAAATATTTGCTAATAGATAGTATAGAACAGATTTCTAATTTAGGCTATGATTGTACAGATTACTACGGAACACTAATCTTCTAGGGAAGGTGGGAGATCAATTTTTGTTTCTATTATCTTTTCCTTATTTTTAATGTATCTAGACATATTAAATTCTCTACATACTTAATAATAAGATCAGTCAAGTTTAGATAATAAAATTTTACTATGCAATAATAATTGTATACAATACGAGGCAACATTATCATACTAGTATTTTAAATTACAAAAGACAGAAGAAATAATATTAATTTTTTTCTTATAGTCTCTTCAATGTCCTCTTCTTATCTTTTAACATTTTTTTCTTTTCCGCTGTTAGTTTCTTATCACTTGCATGCTTTTTTGGAAGAGGTCCTCCAGTGTCCGAAGAGGCACAACTTTCCAGGCCCGCTTTGCTTCCTTTCCCGCCTCCCTGAAGAAATAAGTTTCATAAAAATAAAAATTATTATAATGGTGAAAGTATGAAAAAAAATTATTTGTGAGATAAGACATTACTTGTGCATGTATCTCAGTCATCATTTTTGCTCGCTCTGAATATTCGTCGTGACTTTCTAAAAGCAATTTGCCAGCTTCCTCATTCAAAGCAGATTCTGGATTTGGCACTATCAGTAGACATTTTACAGTCTAAAAAATATAAAAAAGAAACATAAAAATACGTAAGCAAGCATTTACAACACATTGTGTTTCATTGATCACTTACTAATAATATATGTTGTATCCCAAGATCCGGTTTCCAATCCTTTTTTAAAGTGTTGACACATATTTCGCCATTTTTTGCTACATTAGGGTGAAAAATTTTTGTAAGGAAATAAGCCTTTGGCGGTCCCTGTGGAAAATCCTTTCCAAGAACTAATTTCACTCTAAAAAAACCACTGGCATATGGAGTCCCCGCTATTAGAACAAAATATATAGATATCAATATGTTATATTATTATTTTTAAACCTTAACTATTGTCATTGAATCTTTTTGTCATATTAACTCTGTAGTCGAGTCTGATAAGCATAACCATTGAAAAATTCTTATTTATTCAAGTAGTCATTTTTATTTTATTTTTATTATATTTTGTTGCAGTGATGTTAAATGGATACTTTATGAATAGACATCGTATTCTTATGCAATTATATATATCTTTAGAAAGTGGATTAAAAAGTAACATTAAAATAGGAATTTGTCTTATTGAAAAAGCATTCAAAAAATACATATTTATTTGTGTATATTGTATATATTTGCACATTTTGTACATATCTGTATAAAAATCCGATGTCTATTTATAAAATATAGAATAAAAAGTGGTACATTTTTATTTAGACCTTTATTTATCATATTATTGTCTTGCATAAAATCAGTGATGGGCATTTTAAAAAATATTTCTAATTTCTAAATCTTTTTATTCTAATCATCACATTATGTCCGTGACGTCATATGACGATAGTAATGTTAACAATTAAGGATGAAAACTCATATGGGAAGAGACGTACACTCTCGATACAGATGAATGACATACGCGGATACGAGTCGAGGTAAAAGGTGTTATAGGGTTAGGACGACGACCAGGTTAGGTTAGGTAACGTTAGATGTATAGTCGATAAAAGTATGCTTTGCTCAGAGATATCGGTTTTGTCAACGAGGCCAAAGAGCGAGGAAGCGAGGAGGCTAAATGAGAGACAACCAACGTTACCTGGTCCTTCGATGACGGCTTGTATGTCTGTGACATCGGCCTCGTTCAAAATGACACGAATACCTTCAGGTGTTTGCGCGGTCAGTTCTGCCATCTCCTTGGCTACCCGGCGGATGATTTGTGGCGACAGATTTTCCACATTCTGCAAAAACGGATGAACCAATCTCACACGTGTTTTAGCGAGGATGATTGAAACGCGTAGAATGTAAACAAGAAAACGTTCTCGCTATATACGGTGGCGGTTAGCGGCCGCGGCGACGGGACACCGCGACGAACGAATGTCGAATTACGTACGTTTCCGCGATAGCTGACCAGCGGAAAATTACTCACGGAGCTCACGGCAGCAGCAGCCATAATCGCCGTAAATTCGGAGCGTGATCTTGCCCAGGCCTCGAGCGCAGGCTACGCGATTTTCTCAGCTTCCCGGCACACGGCGTAGGAAAACACTTAACGTCACAACATCAGCACGGCATCGCCTGCAATAACCAACATTTTGAACTGACAGCCAATCGCATGCCAGGGTACTCTCGATACCAGAAGTCGATCCTTCCTCCCCCTCGCTCATCATTGCGCCGTCGTCGTCGTCACCGCCGCCGCCGCCGTTGTACGTACGACCTGTCCTCCGACTTGATTTGTGCATGTTTTTTTAACTTAAAAGCGCGAACGATTTGCCAGCATCGCTGAACGAACTGATTCTAGGCTATTTTTCGTCGAGACTGCAGACTGTGGCTCAAGATGACGATACGTAGTGGATAAATACGAAGTACGGAACCGCCAGTGGAACGAGACCATCTTCCGTGTTGCTGTTGACTCCTACGCGTGTCGTACATCTTCCCCTCCAGATCCCCGCCGCTAAAACGAATTAAAACGCCGCGTTTATCACAAATCTCTGCGCGATGACGGATGACGGGACGGTCGAAAAGGTGAGTACGACTCGATTCTGTCGAATTGTAAATTGGTGACTTGGAACCAGCTAGGAAACTCGTTTTTGTGAAACGATACGCGCTTCTGTAGCTTGGTAAAAAAATCAATGACAGAGCGAGACATGATTTCGTTGGCTGATAATGAGATATTATCGTAGGAAAAACATATGAAGCAATTGAAGCGAAAGATGGAATGCTGGCGGGAGATAATCCTTCCTTTAAATTCCATTCTCTTGTGGGAACGCAGCTGGCATCCTGGACTAATTGTCGGGCTTGTAACAGTGATATTCTGGTAAATGAACCAGTCCCATAAAAATGAAAACTATTTTTAAGGTGGATGTGTTTATAGGTTTATTTGCGTGTACTTTTTAGGTATTTATAGCTTTGTTTCCTGTCTTTTCATTACTCAAGTATATGTTCAATTCGTTTCAAGTATGTAAACTTTTGAGGATTTCAAGTAATGCAAACAAACTTTATGTAAGATAAAGGTCAGAATAATTGGACGTGTATCTATGTCTGGATACATAAAATTTATTATTATTAATCTGAAATACTTTTTTTAATTACATCATTATCATTAATTATTTTTAAAGATTATAATTAAATTATGAAATTATATTTAAAAAAACATTTGATTAATAATTTAAGCAAATATATAAACTATATCATTAAATATTTTTCTACTGTTAATTTTTTGTTCAATTTCAAATTGATTTCTTCTAAACAAAAAATTTTAAACATCTACAAGAGGTTTCTAGTAATTAATAATTTAAAAAAACATGATTAATAATAATACAGAGAGAGAGAGAGAGATGGCAGATTATGTCTTGTGGTTAATTTTTTAAATAATTTTTAATAATGCTTGAATAAGCTTAAATAAGCTTAAATAAGCTTCAAATGTGTTTTACAATTTTAATGTGATCTTTATATAAATTATTAAGATGTATAATGTTATGTATAAAAACATCAATAAGGTACATTCACTTGATATATATTTGTTTTAAAAAAGATTATTTTTGGTTTGATCAAAAAGAAGTTAGATTATAAAGATATTTTTTTGATAGCTTTGGAATACCCTATGGGATGTAAACTTGTTGAAAGTATATGGGTAAAATTACTAATGTTTCTCTTATTGCAGTGCTATATGGATTCTAGAACCAACTCTGCTGACGATGATATCTATATGTCTATTAGTATTTGCTATTGTTGATTATCTTGTGCCGATTTTGACTTCGGTATTATGCAACGCACAAAGTTGGACTGGACAGAAGGAGAAGAAATTAATTGAGATTTGTCAAAATCTGTCTACCACTATATTGCAATTGCAAAGTGTATGGAGGTCTATCTCGAAAATTCGACACGATCGTCCCAATATTGTAAGTGAATTATAAGTGTATATCTATTAAAAATTAAAAGTTTATTATTTTTTGCATGAAAGATAAATCACACAGATAAATGTCTTTTTAAAGATCACTTTATTTTATTGAATATTATTATAGGATATTTATAGGATATTTTATAATCTATACAGATTCTCTCTCTCTTTTCCACATTTTAAAAGTAAAAAATTACGTGTAACATTTTTCTTATTTTTATTGCAGTATTACAGTGCAACGATCCTCTTTCTCATTCTTTTCGCCTGGATCGGTAACGCTGTCAATAATTTGCTTCTGCTTTACATCATAGGTAACAAATTTATACCATTATTTTCTGTATTTGTTTGTGTCCATACTACTTTTAGTGATTTATCTGATTTATTTTTTAGTGGTTACGGTTCTTCTCATGCCAGGATTCAGACACAAAGGACGAGCGCGCTGGGCTGTGAAATATGTTTATGATCACTTAATTCGTCGTCATTTATCATAATCGTTACTTTGTATGTATCTCGTGCCCACCGAAACTTCGTCGTTTTACATACTTTTAATCCATGCTCTCTCAATATACATTTCTTCATAATACTATGATATGCTATGCAATTTTAGATGTATATTCATTTAATGCACGTGTGTATATTTA